AACAGGTTCATTTTACAATAAATCAAATATGCCTTGGAAATTACCTAAAAAAACAGCGATCACGTTTCATTATTTGCCTTTGACGTATATTAAATTTATACTTGTTTATAAATTAGTTACAGAACTGCAAGTGCAATAACGTTCAAAATGTTCGTCAAAACCATCAGGAAAACGACAATACATTCAACGTTTTGGCTGCAGTAGCGGAAAATCCGAATATAAGTTTAGGAGCAAATCTTCTTCAAATCAGTTTTTTCTTCGATTATGTATATATATTATATTCCGGAAAATGATAAACAAATAGTATCTGATGCAGATGCAGCTTACATTCTCTAAAAAAACATTAGATGCCTTTTATTGCGTCGGTTAGTTGAAACAGAATTAAATATGAAAATCGTTCGACGTCAAACAACAATAACTTAGATGCGATGCGCTTGTAGTTTGTTAAAAGATTCCAAAGCATCCCTGATTTATAAAAATGTAATTTTTTATTTTGTCGATTTCTACGGTTTTGAAAAATGGAAAATTATAAGTAAAAGTATGAACAGATGCAGTATTTTTTTCTCCAAAAAAACGTATTTAGGCTTTTGCTCTAAAATAATTAGGGGAGCTAGTAATTGACTATAAAGAAATGACCATTGAAATCCTTATGCTGCGTTGCGCTAGGCACCACCCTGTATACATAGCAAGCGGTAATTGTCAGTATGCTCCAAAATGACAGTCGGGCTTACGAACGAGTCAGCCGTGGTACAATAGTAGCTATACATAGATCTGCAATGTGGCAAGACCATCGGTTACATTAAGAGTAATGCTAATTAAATCAATGGGGTGATATATTCACGTTGCGTATAGCAAACAAAAACTATTTGTAAAATATTTAGTCTGGGTCTTTTTATTCTCAAACGCTGTGTAGCTAAAAATACGAATAAATAAATAATGGAAATATAAATTCTAAAGCGTTCGACAGTCGCATTGCCTGTTATTGAATGGAAAGCTATCGTCTTCTATACTTGTGGCCTACTTGGAGCAGGCTTATATCGCTGTCATCATAAATTGCTTGCATGTAAGTAAACCATAAATTGCGCTCACTTATGATAGAGGTAATCAAATAGAGAACGATTATAGAAAATGGAAATATCAACACTAACAGTCACACGATTGGAAATTGCCGTGCTAACTCAAACATTGCTGTCTATATTTATACAAAAACAGTTTCATACAATTTCACGGCGGCATACTACACGCAACTATTCCCCAATGATCACTTTAAAAATATGTAACGTTGCGTGTCAGGTTGATCAAAAACTATAATTGCCTACGCACAATTTATGGAGTAAATCTTGGGTTGGTGTGAAATTGTGTGCAAACAAAGTAGAAATAGGTACTGCATACAAAAGTTGAGCTAGAAGTAGATCGCATTCTGGAGGAAATGAAAGCAACTTAACAAACGAATTTAAAATGACAAAAGGAAATAATAAAAACGTAAATAATGAACACCAAACCTCGAATACATTAAACTCGTTTTATTATGCTTATACGAGTTTATATTAACAAGAACTTTATGACAAGTAATTTAAAAGACCGAGATTTTAATACCTTTTGGTCTATTTAAAATTTTTAGTATTCTTGTTTTATTTGTTTCGACACGTTAACGTTTTTAGAGAAAAAGGCGCCGCGGCGGGCGCTTCTCTATCCCTTACCTTGATTTTAACATTTTCTAGAACTCGTAAACTTTACTAATACGGCTAACAAAAAAATATGCAAGATCTGACACAAAAGGTAAGCAACCTAATAATTTGAAAGTAGCTATAGTAGTAGTTTTTAAGCAGATTGCTAGTGTTTGAAGTTGTGTTGCCGGGTTCATCTGTACACAAAACACGCCATTCCCTTAAACAAATAGTAATATTCTCCTCGGTGTTTTCAAGGTTTGCTATTTGTGCTCCTCGGGCTGCATTGTTATTAAGAATGAAAGAGGGAAAACACGACGACGATTACGATCTAATACAATGATCATTTTCTCACACTGTCGGTAGAAAAATCGCTCATCACGTCCACTATTTCTATCGCTAGATGTAGCTTGCGATGCGGGTAAGAAATTCAAGGTATTTGTAGCATTAATATTGTGCCATAGTAGTCTATATACGAGGTCTGAAAAAAAGAAGTTAGCATTTTGGGAATTATTAGCAAACTGGCCTTCTGTTTAGCCTGTATTCGTCAGTATCATTCCATTTTTTTCTGTACTCCATCTATTTGTTTACTGTTTCTTGTTAATCAGCTTCCAACCCAATCCACGTCATTCCCAAGCCCATCAAGATTGCGTTGAACAATGAGAACGCCTGTGATTCTGTGACTTTCTTAGGAATAAGATTTTCTTTGTCCGTCCAACCACATTACGTTTCTCACACATATTGTGAAAAGGTTTTGTGTGTGTAAAACTACACATTTAAAATGATAACGTTTCCTTATCGTAACGAATTCCACGAACTTACCCACCTCGGGTTCAAGTAGAAGTTCCCCCGTAAGAATTCTGTCGGCATTTTTGGCATAGAGATCTTGCTCCTTGGTGTATGTGAAATTTTTCGTTTATTCAAGGGATCGAAAAGCGAAGCGAAGCTTCGCTTTTCGATCCTTATTAAAGGGATCGAAAACAGCAAGCGAAGACTTCGGCTTTTTCGATCCTTAAAAAGAGACACTCAATCCGTTTACTTCGATTTTCATTTTTAATTTCATTTTAAAATGGCAGCGATTTTGATGAAAATTTTATCGGACCCTTTTTGAGACGATTTCGAATCGATCTCACCGGAGAATTTCGCTACTCTGGAAAAATCTTCCTGAGCGGCTGGGGAGCATATCGTCCGTCGAGGTGCGCGTGCGCGGTTAATAAAAATTTCGCCGTAGCATAGGGCCAATTTTCGGTTAGGTGTAGGGCGTCCGGAGGCGCCGGCGCGGAGGGTGGTAAGGGAATAGATTTTGGGGCAAATTTCTATGGGGTTAAAGAAAATTCCGAACCGGCGACCTACGGGGTAGCTGATCATAAGAAGCGAAAAAAATCGAAAAAATTTTAGAAAAAAAATTCGTAACTCGAAAAACTTCGCGGAACTTTTTTTCGGCGCTTTCTGAGCCGTCGGGCGACGCCAGAGGAGCGTATTTGTGGCCGCGGGTGGCGATTCCATTCTATAGCCCCGTTCGGAACACGCGCGGACCCGGAGGGTCGGCATCTCGGAAAAAGGTGGTTTTCGCATTTTTCCCAACTTTGACGCGCTTCTACAGGGCCGAAACGGTTAGAGTTAGAGGCAAAACGTACAATTGGCCGAGTTGTAGATCTCGACGAGAATCTACGAGACGAGGGGTCCGCGGGATCGCCCTAAACCACCCCCGAGGGGGTGAAGGGTGAAAAACCGGAGATTTTGATAGCGCGTCACGGCGAACGAGATACGGGCTCTGAAACGGATTCGGATACCGTGCGGCCAAGTTTTTTCTTTTCTTTTTCCGTTTACCTCGAGGAGGTAACTCGGGTACGGACAGGCGCCGTGGTACAATTTTCTCCGCCAGGTCTGCAAAAGTCACGGACCGCTTCGTTTGTGTTTTTTACCCTGCAATTAAAGCGCCGAAGAAATTGCGAATCGCCGCGCTAACCGCTTTTTTAATTCAATTGCGAGCTTAATATTTGGAACGGAGAATTTCGGTAGAGGTCTCAAAAATTGCGAGAAAACTACGAGAACGTGTTAACATCGGTTCGGAACGAGTGCGTGATCGATTTGTTGTTCGCAAAATAAGTGTATAAAGTTTACCGTGTCGGTTAACTTGTCAAACGGATTCCGTCAAGTTTTTTAAGAAGTGTTTTTTTAAAGGAAATTAACGTAATTAAAAATGACGGTAAGTGTTCGTAAATTGACTATTATAAACTTCAAATGCTTGATAAGAGTGTGGAGTAAATAAAGTTGCGTTTAAGATAATTGCTAATTTAGCGTATTCTCGTCCGTATCTATAGTGGTTTAAAAGAAGTGTTAAATGTAAGTCCCGATGTAGCTTAGTGTGTAAGTCAAGTTCAGGACTTTCAACTTGACGGATGGCGCCGTAATACGAACCCGATGCGCGCGCGACGTTTTTTTTGACAAATTTTTTGATAAATTATAATCATAATCAATGTTACAATGGGAAAGTTGCTGCTGAGATTTAATTATATGTAGGCGAATTGCATTTGGGCATATTCTTGAAAATTTGAAGTGCCGCTGAGAGAAGTTTTTTTAATAGTTAAGGCTGTCGTATAGGACGCGTAGTTTTTCCGGTATAATATTTTTTTTAAACAGACGCAGACGGGAACGTTCAATGGGAAATATTAGCTCGGAATTATTAGCTATCGTACGCACCGCTCTGGGAAATTTTTTGGTAAAAAAAAAAACCCGTTAGCGTCCGCGATGTTTACCAATTTTCTTTTAATAATTTTTAAAACGTTTTTCACTTAGGTACAATAGGAAAAAGTTTAGCCTATTTACTTTCTCTATTGGAGACGGCCGATCGGAAGGCGATGGATTGGAACTAATCCCCTTGATCGAGGGGGTTATTTCGTTTATAGCCGAGATAAATGTCGGGACCGGAAATTTTTGAAAATTTGTTAATACGATCGTTTGGTCCAATAATTTAATTGAGAAATGATTAGAGATTTGTGCAAGAAGTTTTTTGACATTTTTCAAAAAATTCGAAGAGATTCTGACATTGTTCATAGAAGTGGATTTTACCGTTTATCTATTCCTTAACCTATAAAATAAAACACTAATTACCTGATGTCTATAATTGCGCTAAAATATTTCTCGTCACAGCGGGCCTTTAGAATAAAGAAAAAAAAATAATTAAGATGCACTTCCTTATCGACGTGAATACGTGTCAAAAAAAACTTGAAGAGATAATTTAGCGGTTAAAAGAACACGTGCTCTTGGTAACTGTTGCACAATTCATTAGATATTGTAATTTCTTCACAAATGCCGCCGCCGCCGCTTCGGCAGCATTTGAGATAATGTTGAGATAAACACCTGTAGATATTACAAGTATTTAAAGGGTGAAATGTTATTTTTTCGAGTTAGTTCAAGTGCAGGTTTCAAACCATAAAGATCGTAAGTATACTTAACACTACCGATTTGCATTTTTATATTTCAAAATTCGTTTTTCTGAATTTGTTGTAATTAATAAAGTAGGTATATCATTTAATCAATGGTAAACCTGATCTTCTAGGAATTATGTTAACATATTTTTTTTGTATTTTTCAGAAAATACAATGTCTGTCGTGTCAGGTAATACATAATTGTAATTGTAAAAAATAAAATAGCTAATACTTTCGTATATTTCTTTTAGAAAATGAAATTAGAGTTGCCGAAGAAGTGATGGTGGAGGTCCATCGGGACGCCGAAAACGTCGGCGACGTCCCAAAGACGGATGTGTAAGTTAACGACAGAATCAAATTTATATTACACAAGCATTTCTATTTATACACGTGTTTCTTACAATTTTTCTTTCTGTAGAACTCAGAACCGTACTGAAAATCGGAGGGGACGTGGACGTGGGCGGGGACGTGGGCGAGGACGGGGACGTGGGCGAGGACGCGAACGAGAACCTAGGCCACGAAGAGAACATCGTGGTCGTCGAGGAAGACAAGAAGCAAAAGTAAGATTTAAAAAAAATAAATTTTAAATTCACTAACACGTCAGCAGAAGCAGGTAGTTATAAGATTGATTGATTGTTTCTGTAAAATGTAAATTCAAAAATTTCAGAGAGATACAAAAAAAGTAATTTATTTCTATTTTAGAAGACCATCAGCCCACCGGCTCCACCGACACCGGCTCCGCCAGCATCGGCGCGTCAAGATGCCCCCTCACAAGGGGGCAATACATTCACATTTCATTTCAATTATTACTTTAAATAAATAAACATACATAAATTATATAACGTGTTGAGATTTTATCCCGATCTGTCTCGTACAGGCCACATAAATTGAACCATCAAATCTAAAAAAATTATTACTACCATATCCTAGTCCTTATTTCATTTACATTTAAATTTAAAATGTGTTACAAAAAAGATGCAATTCTATCCGTTAAAACACCTCTCGATTCACCGTTGATCTCAGTTCGTCAAACATGTTTGAGAACGGAGCAATCTATGGTGGACAATTGGCACGTCGACTCAGTAATTCATTGACATATCCATAAGTCGAAGGGTGGAGTGCGACAGGTGTTTAGACATACTGTTGACAGAACCACTTGCGAAATGTCAACTTACACCGCAAGCGTCACGTCACCTGCGGCAGGTAGATGGGTTATTGGTTCATATGGAACTGTCTACACGAAGATACTTTTCCATTAGCCTCCCGCTGCATTGAGAATACTATGCCAAAAAGACATATCACTACGAAACAACAGTTTAGAATGCTCAAAGTTTATGAAGTATATTTGACATGAATTCTTCCCTGTAAGTTTTCTAGTTAGTTTTAAATCGTACCACGTAACGAAATAATCAAGAGAATAAATAATTTTGCGATCGTTTCCAAACTTTGCTTTTTGTATTACCATGGGTACATTTTTATTTTACTATAATAATTATAGGTTAGGCATTAAATTTTTATAAAATTTGCCTTTAGACAGACAGTCCACAATTTGTCAAAGAAGATTTTATTTATAAAGAACAAATTTTATACTACCTTATATACAGGGCGTATTACAACAAAATATACAAATTGGTTTAATAATATTGATAACGCCAACGCTAATTCATCATCTGGAGAAGATAATTAATAGCAATTGTAAAAGTTTGTAATATGAGGTGTGATCGTTATATTTGGGTGGCTTACTCGAAACGTAAAGAGACGAACTATTTTTGGTAAATTGGTTTTAATAATAAGTCGATCGTAGGTAGACGAGACGATAAAACTGGCTTACTTCCTTCATCCATCGATGCTACAATTAAAGTTATGTTATTTTGATTTGATATAGATCCATAAATCAAATTCGCAATGAATATGTGGATAGCGATCAACTTAACTTAAAAAACCTTCCTCGTAATTCGTTGATGATCCTTGGGTTGTAACAATTCATGTTCAAAAAATAAGTTAACGGTTACCCGATTTCAAATTTAATTACCATGGATTTTATGCGGAGATGTACTTGATCGGCTTTATGGTTCAGTGGTAGAGCACTGTACTATAAAACCGGAGGTCGGGTGTTCCGAATCAGGTTTTCCTAATTCGTAAGGTAAATACCGGAGTAGTATAAAACAACTTAAGACCTTCTGCAGAAGACCTCTAAATAGTATTATGCGGGTCACTCTGTAATTGGGTGAATGCCTTTCGAGAACCCAAAACAAAAGGGGGATAATAAATAAATAAATTTATTCGAATTTACAATTTGTTATTATATAGGTACCTACTACAATATAATTTTTGATAATCTCACATTCGAAAAAGTTCAAATATTGATATATACGCTTTTAAAATTCAAATTGAATAATAATATTTATTGTCCCAACAGATACATAGAAGCTTTCAAAAAAAGAACAAAATTATATAGCTACAGCTCAAGTGAGTGCAATATAAATAAACGTTGCCGTTAACATAATGATCGAAAAATAAAATTGATTTGCCTCTAAGCTACACAAAGCAATATTAGATTCGAATGAACATGAATAATACCCAAAAATAAAAATAATTTTGTCGTGAGGCTACATAAATGATGCGGAAAATTATATTTACAACAGCATCAACAACATATGAAAATAATGATAAATTAATTACATTTAGCAACAATAGCTTTAAGTTAGTAATACAGATATTAATAAAAATCAAATACCCAAAAATAAAAATAATTTTGTCGTGAGGCTACATAAATGATGCGGAAAATTATATTTACAACAGCATCAACAACATATGAAAATAATGATAAATTAATTACATTTAGCAACAATAGCTTTAAGTTAGTAATACAGATATTAATAAAAATCAAATACCCAAAAATAAAAATAATTTTGTCGTGAGGCTACATAAATGATGCGGAAAATTATATTTACAACAGCATCAACAACATATGAAAATAATGATAAATTAATTACATTTAGCAACAATAGCTTTAAGTTAGTAATACAGATATTAATAAAAATCAAATACCCAAAAATAAAAATAATTTTGTCGTGAGGCTACATAAATGATGCGGAAAATTATATTTACAACAGCATCAACAACATATGAAAATAATGATAAATTAATTACATTTAGCAACAATAGCTTTAAGTTAGTAATACAGATATTAATAAAAATCACATGTTATAAAATGAAGAATTTTTTAAAGCGTTTGTTCGACATTGAGATAGGTAAATGAAAAGTTACTACATGCCTGGATGACAGACGTGGAACAAAAAATGTTATACAATTGTACAAACATGTAAAGTCAATATTATTTTGCAATAAAAATTACATAGAAAAAGCAACACTTATACACTTCCTTCTTGTATACTTAAGGATGCAAATTGAAATCTTTCCAACAGAATGTCATTTGCGTAATCTGTCACCGGGTAAAAGCGCTAACTTAAGTATTTGAAGCGAGACGGTTGAAATTAGTTAGGTGATGAATCTACAAAAAAAAATGAAAATTACTACAAATGAAAAAAGTAGGTACCTTCTTTTTTTACCTGATGTTAACAACGGCATGCCATGCAATACTTTGACAGGCGAATGCACAGCAATTCGACTCAATTAAAAAGAAGAATCGGAAGAACGAATAAGCAGAAACTAAATGATTTGATAATACAGGATTATTACAGATAGATGATGTTATCGATTTCGATTGAAAATAAAAATGGATTGGTATGTTTATAATATACTAAATATTTTTCCTAAGAATGTATCTATCTTATTTCTTTGTATGATAAATAAAACTAGATTAATGCACGCTTGCAATTATCAACATTATTTGTAATAACCCTGTATAACGTATTTCAAAAGGCGAATCGTCTTCAATTGCCATCATAAATCTGAAACGATTATTACGTACCTACAATAAAAATAAATATTTTATTTTCAATTATAACTCATATACGCACTCAACTTACTTCGAATGGCACGGTATATTTTTTTCAACCCTGCTGCGTTCGGATGTATACCATCACTGAAATTTTCCAAATTAATACCACATACAAAATATCATATATGAAACTTACCGTTCGAATATACGTTCCACATTCTCGCACTGAAACAAGGCGTACAAATCGATAAGTTTAAAAACATCACGGCGATTAGAGCATATATCTCTAATCGCCGCATTGTATTGGGACAATTCGATTTGTACGCTTTGCCCAGTACGGATCATGGGAGGAACGGTGCACAGCAGGGCTCGATATTGTAACGTCCATTTCCTTAAGGTACGTAATAACCCCTTCAAATTTCTAATGGCAACGGAAGCCTTTACGCCTCTTGAAATATCGTTCGTACCAATCAAAATAACCAGAGGAACATTCCGTGGCACAAACCATTTAGAAGCTGCATTACGCGACCTCTCGATTCTTCGTCTTAATTGCGTTATAGTTTGGCCCCCGATACATAAATCCACCAAACGCTTGCCGTGCATCCACCGAACTTTCCGTTTGCACACCGTTGCCAACATCCTTCTTAATATACTGTCTCCCAAATAAAATTCCATCACTACAAATGTTGATAAATATAATAAGTTACTATCAATCGTTAAGGTGATTCAAAAAATACTTACCACGATTATTAATAAAAATTAGAAAGGAAACACACAAACACACACCTTTTGTATTATAAAATGGCAGACTGCGTGTCTTCCACTGATCTCAATAAAAATTAAATAGAGATTAGTGGTGTCTCCATAATAAAAAGAAAACGTTTACATTTCTTAAAAAAATCCCACAATTTAACGTTCCCATTTCTTAAACTTCTTAAACTGTATTTCAAACTTTTATAATAATAAAGGAAGGACCGAAGGACTAGCTAAAATTGTGTCCAATATGGTTTTTTCGGTATGATACCGGTGATTTTATTTTGTTTCGCTCTACTCACCCCATTTTCTACAAATTCTATTGTAAAAATAAATTGGAAATTTATTGTCCGATTCGTTTTGTTTTTCTACCGCATTAAGCGACGAAGATTACCGAACGCACGTTAACCGACGTACGATCTTAGACTACTCTTTCCTTCTCTAAGCGTACGATGTAGGACGGTGGCGCCACTTCATTTCCAGGCAGTGTTGCCAACCGTACCATTATAATGGTACATGCGCCATTATCGAAGTATGTGTACCAGTTTCCATTGTAATGCAAGAGGTACGCATAATTGTACCATTTCACAAAATTGTACCATTTTTTGTAACATTTTTAAGAGATTTAAGTGGATATTAATTTTTAAGTGGAGACAGGTGGTGCAAATTTAAGTAAATGCGGGCAGCGGTGCGCCACAGCCACTGCCGAGTGCCGACTGCCGAGTCCTGATCCACTCTTCTCTTGTACGCCAAAGCATTGCCAAAGCAAGTTTAGTTTTTTCAGTTGTTTACTGTTTGTTTGGTTGACAAAACACGATTACATTGTGTGGATTCGCAACTACAGTGATCTACATAGATGTAACGGTAGCATAAGAATAAGCCCTTCGTGTGCGTGTGAGCGATCGTTTGCACGCTCCTAAACAGCCATTGCATGATGTGTTGCCTAAAATTTGAACACAAAACCCTTTATAAGAGCACCGTATTAAAGTTACTTTTCATTTAGCTAAAACGTCTTAACTTTAGCACCCTGTATAAGATTGCACATGGTATACCATTATACAACATCATTGTGCCATTTTTCCATGAAAGTTTTACCATAATTGGTGTTTTAGTTAGGTTGGCAACACTGTAATTCCAGGGCATCCATTGCGATCACGTTTCGTCTTTGAGAAGGTGTTCAAGATTTTTCATTTACGTCCATCGGCCCATTTATATCGTTTTTAATTGTATATTTTATTGGTAAATGAATTACGGTATACGATTCAATTTATGGCGACACGTATTTTTGTAGATTTCGAAGAAATTCTTCCACCTCGTGGAATTTCGATCTTTCGTGGGATTCGATCAATCGTGGGAATTTTACTCATTTTTTTATCGTTCATTTTATATTGTAAGTGACAAATCCCTAGTATAATACGCTATGTGAAACTGAAAAAAACACTTTTGTTAAAAGATTTTCAAGGTTACCTTCGACATCAATTATGAGGCCCCCGAAGAAAATTGAAAGGAGCGGCATTGAGTTTACATAGATGCCAAAATTCGAAGACTAGGTAGTATAATATGATTTATTCTGATTAACGAAAACTATTCTTTTAGCTTCGAGTACTCGATGTCAGTCAACAATGTTCCCTGCCGGCCAAATGATGTAGAACGTGTGGATCTCGGTTCTGGTAAAAAAAAAAAAACATAATTTTTTTAATTTGTGTGAAAGACGGGTGATGCGGACTTTCTTCAACTTCTCAGGGCTTCTGACTCCAAATATCTGCCATCGTGGAAAAAATTGGAAAAGGTAAGAATATAATTATACAAGGGAAAAAGTACTAGATTTTTACTCAAGGTTGTGTTATCAAAAAACCCCGAGGCTAAAATCTAACATTTTTTTCCCTTTTTTGCTTGCTAATTGTCGAAACGCATTGGTGCGATTCTCAAGATATGAAAAATACATTACTAACGAACCGTTTTCGATAATCTTTTTAAATTTTTTATCGCATTTTCATACACCAAATGCTTTATCTTATTTTATTCACATTTGTGAATTTAAACTGATACAGATTTTAATTTTTGTAAGGTAAACCATTCCATGTTAATTCATTTTTTGTTTGAGTTTTTTAGGTCCGTTCTTATCATCGAAGGTACCACCGTCTACAATATCAGTCTCTATCTTCGTAACGCAAGGAATATATTTTTTTGATAATTTTACGTAAATGCGAAATCATTTAAATTTTTTTCAAGCTTCACTAAAAATTGTGTACCGATGTTTCTTAGAAAAACGATTTCGCATTCACGAATTGTTAACGATCAATATTAATACATTTTTTTCAATTTATAGATTCGCTCTTCACGAATAAAATTCTGCGCAACAGAATAGGTACTATCAAAAATGGACAGGTATAGAAAAATAATGTTTGTACATTTAATTATTTTGTTCTATTTTTCAGTTCCACCTAAACAGACGACCGCGACCTTACGAAGAATTCTCACCTGCGAAGATAATTATTAATCAATATTTGAAATGTAAATTTTTCTTTAAATACCTAAATCATAATAAATGTAAAATCAAATTTCGAATTTTTTTTACTCTCCAATTTGTAAATAGATGCGTTCATATATAATATGTAATTTTGACGGTATTAATGCGAAATATGCTCACTCTAGCGTAGACTTGAAATGCGTTGGACATTAGGTTATTTGTATGTTGAAGAAATTTTTTTTAACTTTTTTCGTAATACAAATTCAAACAACAATTATAAATGAAGCTAAACAAAATGTGACACCAAACAGCTTTGCACATTAGGTTATTTGTATGTTTAAGATTATTTTTTAACTGTATCCGAAATAAAAATTCTTAATAACCCTTCCCCAACTAAGTAAAATAACCGAAGACTTTCGATTCTTAACACACGCGCCTCGTATACCAATGCCGAGCGAGCCGAAGGCGAGTTCGGCATCACTTTGGCCCTCCCTTAGCTTGGGGCATTAGGTTATTTATAGATTTAAGAAATTTTTTTTAACTTTTTTAAAATACAAATTCAAACAAAAACTGAAAATGAAGCTACAGTGTGGCACCAAACAGCTTGGGACATTAGGTTATTTGTAAATTAAAAAAAATTTTAATTTTTTTTTAACTTTTTTGAAAAACAAATTTAAACAAAAATTATAAATGAAGCTAAATCGAATGTGACACCAAGCACCGGTGGATATTAGGTTATTTGTAGATTTAAGCTATTTTTTTTAACTTTTTTCGAAATACAAATTCAAACAAAAATTCTCGAGCTCGCCGTTCTCGCGACGAAAACGGCTCGCATTTTTCCTCCATCAATGTCGAGCGAGCCGAAGGCGAGTTGGGCTTAACGAGGGCTCTCCCGTAGACCCGCCTCTCCCCGTTCGCGGCGGCAAACGACGCTTACTTACGGCCCTACACGCGCCCACCTTTCCCCGTCATTCATCTAAACCTAATAAAAAAACGGAGATCCTTGCGAAAACGAATAACAAAATACTGTTTCGCTGATATTAGTTTCGGCCCGATATACTTTCTACAGGTTAAATCGAAATTTTAAAAAAAAGTTTCTTTGTATCTCGCGAGGCTTTTTTATACCTACATATTTTATATATACTTCTTTAAAATACAAATTTAAAAAAAACTGAATATGAAGAGTGTGGCACCAAACAGTTTGGGACGTTAGGTTATTTGTAGATTTTTAAAAATTTTTTTAAACTTTTTTGAAAGACAAATTCAAACAAAAATTATAAATGAAGCTAAATCGAATGTGACACCAAGCAGCGGTGGATATTAGGTTATTTGTAGAATTAAGAAATTTTTTTTTAACTTTTTAAAAGACAAATTTAAACAAAAATTTATAAATGAAGCTAAATCGAATGTGACACCAAGCACCGGTGGACATTAGGTTATTTGTAGATTTAAGCTATTTTTTTTAACTTTTTTCGAAATACAAATTCAAACAAAAATTCTTTATAACCGTAGCGATGTTTCCAAAAAACAAAAATATTCCTCATAAATTAAAAAAAAAAATGTCCAATCAGTCTGATCAATATCATTTTCTTACCACACCAACACTGAAACTGAATAATTGTCTTTGTAGAACAGTGAACAGTGCGAGGCGAAGCCGAGCTATGGGCCGTTACAAATCAGAGCGAGGCGAGGCGGCCGGAGCCGAGCGTATTTGTCATCAAACCCAAAAAATGATAATAAAAATTAAAAAATCTTATGTGCAAATTTGGATTGAACAAGCTGAATAGAAATTTTCAAAAAAAGGCATTTAATATAGGTGATGTTTCAAAAAAACAAAAATATTCTTCCCAAATTCAAAAAAATTATCAATTCAGTCTGCTCAATATTATGTTCTTACATTACCAAAACTGAAACTAAGAAATTGTCTTTGTGCAACAGTGATCAGTGCGAGGCGAAGCCGAGCTATGGACCGCGACAAATCAGAGTGAGGCGAGGCGGCGAAGCCGCCGGAGCCGAACGTATGTTTCATCAAAACCAAAAAGTGATAACAGTATTTAAAATCTTATGTGAATTATGTGCAGATCTGGATGCAACAAGTTGAATAGAAATTTTCAAAAAAGTCACTTTGTATAGGTGATGTCTTCATAAACAATATTCCTCACAAATTCATAAAAATATCAATTCAGTCTGCTTAATAGCATTTTCTTACCAAACCAAAACGGAAACTGAGAAATTGTCTTTGTTCAAACCTCATAGTGCGTGTTGACATCTGACAAACGAAAAACATAAATCATTTTACACTATTTCTTGCAGTAGTGTGGTAAAATGAAAAGTGCGCGGTAGGTAGGTTCATCTAATTAAATTGTGCAAAAATCGTATTGCGCCGAACATAGATTACATCTCCAAAAATTAATACACAAACGTATAATACCCCTCTTTTTGGCGATATATGTGCAAAATATACTCACTCTAGCGCAGTCTTGAAATGCGAAGCATTTTTACCAACCTATGTAATGAGATTGACCATTGACATATCGATGCTTTTTTGAACCGAATCAAATTTCTTTTCCCGTTTTAAAAAATTGTAACAACCATTAAGCAAAAGAATAACAAAAAAAATAAAAAAAATAAAAAAATAAAAAAAAAATTTTAAAAAAATTGACAAACGGTAAACCACATAAAGAAACAAAAAAATAATAAAATAATTTTAAAAAAAAATAATAAATTAAAAAAAAAAAATTAAAAAACATTCTATACGGTAAACAACAAAAAAAGGCGTACGTTAATTAAACGGCGCCGATAGGTCCGTAAGGACCTATCTAGTTATATATTATATATTATTGTTTCGTTTACGGTTTTTCATGTATACTTTGGTTCGGCTTTCGTTTAAGTTAATAATTCTCTGCGTACGTAAACTTTTTAGTGGGGTGAGCACGTGGTGCGTGCAAGCATGCTATTAATCGTAAGTTTTGAACAATTATAGTTATAATTAGGCTCTATAAACATTAATAGACTTACTTTGTGCATTTTTTGTCGCAATGGAGGCCAAGACTGATTTAGGTCCTAAAGTTATTGCGGAAAATGTCAGTATTGTATCTATTCTTAACCGGTGCACTATACTGCTCTCCTTTCGATTGAAAATTCCTGGTGGCTTCCATTTATTTATGTTTTCTTTTCCTAGTCTTAGTTTATTATTTCGACGTGCTCCATTTTTGTTGCATATCATTTTTAAGCGCATCTTTAAATCTTTCGTAAGATCCAGATCTCTGCGAATTTTGGTTTGGTTAGTTTCTTTTGCCTCAGAGGCAGCATGGCGTGCTACTATGCCCCATAATAATATATGTTTTCTTGTTTTTGCACAGTTGCGCTTTCATTCGACATTATTTTCTAATTAAAATAGCATATGTACAGGGTGACCAAATAAGAATGCGAGGTACTGTATCTGGGAACCTGTCCATTGTAGATGCTTGCGGTAAAAAAAGTTATTACTAAAACGGCCACGAGAAAAACCTGGAAAATATTTTTAAGTTTCTGAAATGGCCGCTAGGGGGCGTAACTGCAATCTGGAATCTAAAAAGTTATGTTTCTGGTATTCCGCTATATTAACCTAACAAAAAATGCCCGGTCTTTAAAGTCGACGATAATCTGAACCTTTTTTGTGTGACAATTTTGCTTGTATCTCTAAAAATAAAGTGGTGGTGAGTATTCAAAGGTTTCCGTAAAGAACACCCTGTATCTTCGAAACGGCTGACCCGATTTTAACAAACTCGGGTTAACTGAAAAGAGTTATTCTTCGGATACAAATATTAAAACATATCGCCGCTTGAGGGCTTTTCTCGACATTCCGACAAGAATGGATAATTTTCTAAAAAAAATTAAATGCGTTGGTTTGATTTTTTTTCTTGAAAAATTAGCAAAATGATGCCTAAACAAGCTCGCGAAAACCGCATCTCGATATCTTGTTCCTAACCTAAAATTTAAGCCAAAGAAAATTTTATACCCTCAAATTTTTATTTTTTTTAAGATAAAATTTTTCCGAAATTATTTTTATTATATAATTTGTGACCCTAAGGAGGATCGATTTAAAAAAGGAAGCTTTTAATGTCGCCGTAAATGCTCGAAATGCTGACCATCACGATATACAGGGTGGTGACTTGCGTCACGCATCATAGGGATTTCAATGTAAAATTCATAACATGCGATTATTGGCTCCCCAAATTATTTTAGAGCAAAAATGTATTAAGGTTTTTTGTAGAAAAAATTTTTTTACGTCAATAAACCCTATTAGTTTTCAATTTTTTACATAATAAAGACGGAAAATTGGAAAAATAAAACCCGCATCTTTTTCAATAATCTGCGATGCCATGGAATTTTCTAAAACAAAAAGATATCCAGTTAGGTATCAATTAGCAGCAGTTCGAAATGGATTTTATGATCGACTTGGTTACTGTCTTGCAGTTAATGGTGACTTATTCGAACATTTATTGTAAATTGTTATGTTAGGAAACCATTTTTAGTAATTTGATCTTTCTTTATGTTGAATTCGCTGTTCTAAATATAATACTTTTTGATAGAATTTGATTTGTTTTATAGCAGACATTCCATGGCATGACGGATATTGTAGTTTTTGTATTATAAAATTCCATGGCATCACAGATTATTGAAAAAGATGCGGGGGTTATTTTCCCAATTTTCTGTCTTCATTATGTAAAAAATTGAAAACTAACGCGGTTGATTGACGTAAAAAATTGTTGTCTATAAAAAATCTTAATACATTTTTGCTCTAAAATAATTTGGGGAGCCAATAATGGCATGTTATGAATTTTACATTGAAATCCCTATGATGCGCGACGCAAGTCACCACACTGTATATCTATCTATACATATATATCNCTCAAACTCGAACATAGGGATTTAACATGGAGTTGAACGTTTTTGCGGATTTCTGCTCGCCAACTTATTCTACAGAAAAGGTAATGGTATCATTGGAAAGAGAAAATTATTGCGCATCCACTGATACTAACAACAAGACTAAAAATTGAAATTGTAATGAAAAATTTTAAATCGTTTTGATTAAAAATTCGACAGTATTTTC